TGAGGAATGTATAAAGCGCAATACCCTCTTGCAAATTTCACACGTTGCTACATCCTCCTAAAACACACTTAGTCGGCATATAAATAAAAAAATTTCTGCACAGAAATACTCCCAAAAATATGTTTATTTCGTTAAGCGAAAAAGATTGGGGGTTTAGGTGCACTTTAAATATATCAATTTAGTTCATGGAAACAAGTGATTACTACCCTGAGGAGGAACATTTTAACCCCTCCCCCCCTAAGAAAACTGACATTTCTGTTAATTCACACATTCTCTGGGCAACTGGCACCAAGTTCAGATAAGTCTGCAGGAAGTATTTCAAAACATAAAACCATCCAAAAAAAGGAGTATTTAGTGCTTGCTTAGTACCTTGCTTAGTTTATATAAAGCATTAAATGAAACATTACAGCATTAGAGCCATTAGGCGTGCACATGCATCATTGATCCATGACAGTCATTACAAACCTTTTGATAGCTCTAGATCCTTTAGTTGGTGAGCTGCCATCTGCAGGTTTGACACAAGGTTTTCCTACTCCATGTTTACCGTCATAAGGGGCTGCAAGAATCCACCCCTCCTTTACTGGTTTACCAGAACAATACCTCTGTAAGGTTTTCTGCCAATAAATGCATGTAAATAAATGATATATAGTAAAGTGTAGCCAGATAGCACTGAAGTCATTTGCTTTATTGTTAACTCAAAGAAAAAACAATTTTCTCATGCTTCCATGATATGCAGATAACATCTACTGAAATATTTCAGCAGGGAAAATTTTGATTTACATTATATGTCAGTGGATGCCACTGTGAAAGTATTTAGAGAATTTTGTCTATCATCTTTTGTGGTGTCACAGCAAGAACTGAAGAGATTACACCATTGGATCTACATGATTTGCTAATTGAAACGGTAAAACGTTCTCTTATAAAAGAAAATAAATCTCAAAGAGGTTTCATGATGCACTGATCACACCCAATAAGATACTTTTGCAAGGAAAAACTTTTTATCTCCTATTGCACCCAACTCTGAAATAATTTGGAGATGTTTATCATTTTCTACTGTTTTCCATCGTGTCACAGAAAGAACTGAAAACATAATGTGCTTGTGGCTCTAAGCCAGAAATTATAAATTAAAGGAGAGAACTCAACTGTGTATCAAGTGCAAGTGTAGAACTTCTAAGATACTCCAAAGAAAACAAAAAGTACCACAAGGAAACATCAGGTCAAAACTGGGTCAAGACTGCAATGTCTATTGTTTCACTTACTCACTCATCTCAACTACATATGTGGCTTCACCTCCTAAAGGAGGCAGTAGCCACTAAAACAACATTCCAATTTCAGTGGGGAGGCAATATACAGCAGGTAGGTAATTCTGCAGTCTAGCTTAGAGTACCACTGTCATGTCACGAGTTTCCTTAATTAAATAGTTTTTACCTATTTTGTCAACTTGGTGAGATAATGTTTATGGGGAAATTCATTTCAATATCAAACGATTTCCTAACTTTCGTCGCAAGAGACTGAGCTAAAAAAAGTAATTTCATACGTAGGTTCGATTATTTGAATAGAACGAACATGGTACATGATTCAGCATGTTGTTAGTCGGAAACTTCAGATGAAAGTGCAGGGAGCTTAGTTTTAATTTCGCGTCTTTCTCCTGGCAATAACGATCTTATTTTACAAAACGGGTTAAGGAACTGAGCTAGGAAACTGAAATAAGCATTAAAAACATACATAATCTTCGTTAAATTTTTGACTAAAGGCTCTAGTTGTAAACACTGGATATCAGAAACTCAGTTTAATGCCGGCTACCGCATTAGCCGACGAAGGGCTAACGCTCGAAACGTCAGCTTTTGTAATCATTACGGTGGCCAATTTACCATTTCAACTTTGTTGATATATCCAAATTATACCGCATAATGCGTCGATTTACGTGAGGTACAATTTGTACCTCACGTAAATCGACGAAAGCTTACGATACGTACCTGAGAAAGCTGTATCCAGGAGCCACTACTATTAAAGAGTTCAATGCCTGATGCAAACAGCTGAAGATTGGACACAGCTGGTAGCTCTCCAACGCATTGAGCATCGCTTTTTGGCCTCTTGTGTATTGCTATAACTTTGGGGTTCTTACAATCTTCCCTGGTGTATTCAATTTCTGCAGGAACAAAACACAGTGCCGAAGGCAAACTTTCCCCCTGCTCTATGCGTTTTATGCTCTCCAAAAGGCATCTTATCCGAGCCAAGCGACGTCTTGCCGGTTCATTCTTCATTCTGTAAGGTTAGTTTAATTTACCGGTGTCACTCATTAGTGCAATTCATTCCCACTACAAGAAACTAAAAGATGGCGAAAAAGACTACTGAGTAACCAGGCACAAATCACTAACATTAACCACAGGACACACAGACAGCCGCAGACCTCCCAGGTTGTCATCACTGTCACTTTTCTTTCTTCTTCTTAGGAACATTTATCTTTCTGAATATTTGGTGGATCAGAAATTGAGGTCATTGAGTCTAAATAAGAGAATGCTTTAAAAATATTTTTGATCTATGGAACGCATCAGAACAGAAGCAGACCTGACGAGGTGTGCTAGTAAGGGTCTAAATGGGGTTATGCTGGCTGAACACAGTTTTTGCACGGGCTTTTGCTAATGCAATTCAGCATGCGCACAGGGATTGCAAAAAAATACGATGCCCAGTAAGGGACATCAGATGAAAAACACTTTTTCTCTAGCACTTCCACTTATTTATCTGACATTGCTACTTAATAAGTGGCAGTGCCACTTATTTATCTGGCACTGCCACTTATTTATCTAGCACTGCTACTTAATAAGTGGCAGTGTTAATTTCTGGCAGTGCCACTTATTTATCTGGCACGGCTACTTAATAAGTGGCAGTGCTACTTATTTAAATGGCACTGTTGTAAGCACCAGTGCCAGTTATAACTGGCAGTGCCAGATAAATAAGTGGCAGTGCCAGATAAATAAGTAGTACTGCCAGATAAATAAGTAGCACTACCACTTATTAAGTAGCAGTGCCTGATAAATAAGTGGCAGTGCCAGATAAATAAGTGCCAGTGCCAGATAAATAAGTG